CTTCTATTCTGGGGAGCGTCAGTCCGGTTCCTATTCCACCGGCAAGTCAAAAACATTACAACAGTTAACAATCACACACGCTTCCTTCCGTCAGGCCGAAGGACCCCTGAGCAGCATTGTTGCTCCACCACGGGAGGATTGACTGTCAGCTTGCCTTGTCCCACTCTCTCCTCTCAGATCCGGAATCCAGATCTGTCAGATAAAGCACTAGACCCTAGAAAGATCACACCTGTTGGCCTTCCCCAACCTGTTCTTCCCAAAAGTCACTTCGCCCCCCCTTTGGACGGTCAACCGTTGTCAATGAAACCTACACCCTCAGTCTGCAATCTTATCGACAAAACGACACAATTGGGTCTTGACAGGCGTTAGTCAGCTTCCGGATGTCTGAGATGGGATCCTCCTTGGCGACCCCTGTACATGCTCCAGCGTTGTCAGACTTATCCTCCTTTTCCACGTCGTCTGTACCCCCTGGGTCATGTTTAACCTCCTGTAGCCTAAGAGGTGCTTATGGATTCCAGCGACGTCTGATGTTGGGGACCCCGTCCTGGATTTGAATTATGCCATAATTCCAACATACGCGGTCCTGTTGCAGTTCTCCAATCTTGCCATCAACCAGCCAGATCCTGTAAAATCTATGTCGCTCCTTGTTCCGCTGTTCTTCGTCTTCGGACCAGGCTCGCTTGATCTTCCGCCATCTGCACAGGATCTCGGCTTGAATCATTGTTTTAGTTTCTGTCCACACTTTCTCCCGTGGGTTGGAGAGTCCTTCAATTGTTCGACTGCATCTCTCCTTCCATATGACCCATAGGGTCACCTTTCTGATGAGTTCAAACCAGGTCCTCTCAGCTCCGAGCCTGATCAGGGATGTTAGTCAAGAGGAGCAGCTGAATCGGTTGTTTGGGGAAGGGAGATGAGAAGAGGGAATCCCAGAGTGAAGAAGCTCTCACCCAGTATTCGGTTGCTTCTTTACAGAGGACTAGGCAGTGGACTATATCTTCTACCGAGCCTTCAGAGCAGACTGCACATAATTCTGAACTGTCTGGGTCTGTGGTTTTCCGTCTAATGTCTAGCCATTGGTTCACCGGCAGGGCCGCATATACAATCAGCCATTGCAAGCTTCTGATCTTGATTGGTCTGATACGTTTGAATTTTTCCCAATGTATTCGTGTGATTTTGTCAGCTTCTTGACCCACGAGGTTCCTCCATCTGTTTTTGATGATTGGATCTGGGTTTTTGGTCTTCAGAGACAGTCTGTACCCAAGTTTAACTGAGTAGTCCCGGATCGGGACTTTTGATTTGAAGTTGCTGGTGGAATTTGGCTTCCAGGCCCACTCCGTTGGGTCAAACTCCAGGGATCAGATTGCCGTATCCGGTCTGAAGATTTCCTTTGGCCATGAGCCTAGGACCCTTACTTTTCTGAGGAGGAAAGAATCCAATATCGATGATTCTACATTATCATTGAAAATAGCTGGCCTGGCCGTATTGGTGAAGGAGACCGGGAAGGAGAGAAAACTGGCTCTGGTATGTGAGCCTTGCTGCATGTGAGAGAATTGATAGGCTCTAGTAGGGGATGTATCTTGAATCAAAAGTCCCCAATCGCCCGGTCTCCAGGACTCATATTTTACCAGGATGTCTTTCCATTCTTGAGGAATACGATTGAGTATATATTGGAGATTGGTCTCTCGTCTGTGGCAACCTTTCAGTCGAGCACTGACTTCTTGTTCAGTTATCCAGTCTTTTTTGTCCTCCATCCACAAGTGGTCTACTTTCCAGATGCCATTCTTGATCCACGATAGCCATCTTTGTTCTAGGAAAAGAGGGTTAATGGTTTCGTTTGCAGCCATTCATTCCCGAATAGCGGTTGTCTTAGTACTTCATCTTTAGATTTAGGTTTGTTTCTCTTGTTAGGGGTTATTTTCCTCCATGGTCGAAGCAATGCCGGCTAGTAGGGGGTGGGCGGCCGATGATCTTCAGGTCCGTTGTTCCCCGTCCGATTCCTCCGACCTGTGGAGATCACCCATTCCTTGTTCATTACCCAAAATAGGCCTGACATGTCGTTCGGGGAGGGAACAGGAGCTACCGATCTGATACTGTCCAGAGTCAAGTTATTCCAGGCGTTGTCTAGATTCATCAACAGTTTGATGATCCATTTAATTTGCAGAGCTTTCGTTTCTGTTCCGGGGTCAATGATTCCTAGGCCCCCCTCTCGCTGCCTCCTTGTGACATAGTGCCAGGCTATCTTAGATATGCACTTGTCTTTGTTGGGGTCTCCTGTCCAAAGGTAAATCCTGGCCCGTCTGTTCAGCTCCTTAATCGAGCTGTCAGGAACTGTCCAGATAGAGGCAATATACCACATCATTGAGAAGACCGACGTATTGAGAACCAGAGCTTGGCCTATAAGGGAAGTAAAGGAGTTGCCCCATCTTTCGATTTTGTTGATCTGTTTGGCTAGCATAGCTGGGGCCATTTGGGACGCCAGTCCTTCTTTTGTCACCAGGATACCTAGATAACGTGTGGGTGTGTCCGGTGTTTGCCATGTCATAGCCACCTCACCTCCTTGAAGAGAAAGGGGTTCGTCATCGGAGAGCCACCAGCCAATTGTTTTCCCCCAATTGATCTTCATTTCTGAGGCTAACCTGAATGCCTCCATTGCTTTGGCTAGTCTTCTGAAGGATGAATCTGATGCTCTGATTAGAACTGTTAGATCATCGGCGAACATGATGGCTGCGGGGAAATCCATCTGGTGGGCCGAGCCTACATCGGTGCTAGCTAGTCTCTGGATTGATGGATCCTTGCGCAGGAAGGATGCGATTGCCTCCATTACGAATAGAAAGATTGACGGAGCTAGAGGGTCCCCTTGGCGAACCGAGCGGGAAATCGGATAGCAATCTGACAGCAGTCCATTGACTTGGACACAACCAACTGCATCCTTGTAGAGTATCCTGACCCATTTTCTGAAGTTCGGTCCGACTCGCATTCTTTCCATGCTTGCTTCCATAAAGTCCCAGTTGACTTGATCGTGTGCTTTCTCAAAATCAAAGAAGCGAATGGCGGCATTTATTTTCCTTTCTCTGATTTTTCTCACAGACTCATTCAATGTCATAACATTGTCCAGGATATAACGACCCGGGATGAATCCTGTTTGGTCAATGGGACTCTTAAGACAAGACTCACTTCCTCATAGTAAGAAGCAACAAAGAGGGTAGATAATCTAAGGAGCAGCGTACCTCACAACGCTGCCCCGAACCACAGATTTCTCACCAGTAACCTGATGTGCGTTTATGATGACTGGTCGATGCCTCAGCACAACCCACATTACAATGCAGTTCCAACTCGGCTTAAATGCCACATCAGCGAGCTCTCATCACCCAGTGTGGACCCCTATGTCACCATGAAGCCTTCCTTGCGCGCCTGCACGACATTGGGCCGCCTATGCACCAACGCACAAGCATTATCACTGCCCCACCATATCCAGCGAAGCACCAAACAGCTATTGCGAAGGAGCCAATGGAGCGCCTCGAACCTGCTCCGATACCAACTTGCAAGGAAAATGAGCGGTAGCGAAATGACAGAATTTGAGAATGCAAAATCACATTGAAAGCCAGAAAGTCGAACGCTGTCCAGAAAGCAGATATGCACTGATATTCCACCAACGGAGAACCAAAGCACCGAATCCAAATGTCAATGAGAGCATACTCTTGCCACTACCAAGGTATGTATCCAGAGCCCTTCCTCCTACTTGGCTCGCAGCACCCCGATTACAATCACACAGCTACTACCCAACATAGGAATTGACAATGCAACCTGTTGACGTCAGCAGCAGCAACAGAAGTACATGAAGTTGTCGACCCTGTAGACCATTACCAAGACCAGGTACGTGCCCTCACATCATCATCCTAATCTCTCTCTCTCTCTCTCCCTCATCTTCTTCACCCTGTCTTCCCTCGACCACCACCACCCGCTATCTTCCAAGCCAAGCCTGGCTATGGAGGGCTTGGCTATGGCGCTGCCTTCTTGCAGAGCCCTGTCTTCTTCTAGCGCCCGCGCACACTGCTGGTACCTAGTGCTAGCGCACAGCATACAGCCTGCGAGCGCATGCTCAAGCAGCGCTGCCGCATGCACTGCCTAGGGCCTGAATGCCCAGCTCATAGCTCGGCCCTTTCCTATATGGAAAGTGGTGGGCTCACTACCTCCTCCCTGCCTGGTGGGACCGAGTTTCCAGTAGCTTTACTCTCGGCCAAAGTGTCTGCACCCAGGCCCGTTGAGACAGTGGCCTGGGACCAAATTGGTTAGGCATGCCCAACCACCCGGGCACAAACGTGCGGTGTTCCCTGCTTCCACCACGTTGCTGGAAGAGACTGGAAGCTGACAAATATTTCAGATTCTCACAAGCAAGGCTGATGTAACCAACTGGCGCGTGGCAACTGTCCGGCGCCCGACAAGATTTGCAAAATTTGACGAATTCAGGGATCATTGAGATTCGGGGGCCCGCCTTCACTTAGGGCGGGCACGCGTTTGCTGCAGAGGCCTTATGCCGGTATGCCGAGGGGTAAAATCCTCGCAACAGCCCCTGTTTTCCCCCGACGAGCAGATTCGAGCTTGAGCCACCCAACAATTAAATAAGTTCACCTCTTTAGCAAGCAACATGAATCATAATAGAACCATTTAGAACTGTGTTTACCTGGGGTTTCTTCAGTGCACAGCTCCTCCTTTACTATGCCTTGCACGTATAGGGTTGCCTACGTTGATGGTGGTCAAGTGGCAGCTGCCCTTGTCCCCGTGTGCTTTAAGGCCCACGTGCACTTTATAACAGGAGGCAGAGTAAAGGGGAAGGTATGCTCCTGTCCATTTCACTTCAGATCTTCAGCTTGTACTTGGTCTTTGTGTCTGTCATTCGTCTTCATACTCCTGTTCACTTCATTTCAGATCTTCAGCTTATATTCTGTCTGTTCTCTTAACGATGCTCATTCGTATGTATTTGCTAGTGCAAAGGGCAGGAGATAAATATGTGAAGGGCAGGATAGAATATGACACGCAAAGGGCAGGGGAGAGGTATCTGATGAATTCCAAAATCCTCACCGTTGGAACAGACTACTCTAGAGATACACGAGGTCAGGGTTTTTTTTTTTTTTTTTTTTTTTTTTTTTGTGTGTGTGTGTGTGTGTGTGTGTGTGTGTGTGTCTGTTCCAATTGCTCACTGATTGTTAATAACACTGCT